GTGGTGATATTTTTTTTTTTTTTTTTTTTTTTTTTTTTTGTATAATATTTTTTTTATTTGCCCTTCCGCTCCTCCCCGTTTGCACATGTGCAATTTTAGCAATTTTTGTTAACCCCCTTTTTATGTATATTTTCCCATCTTTATGAGCAGCGAAAAATTTTGAAGATTTTCGTTTGCTTGTCACTTGGGAGAATAACCTCTTGCGCGTGCCATGCCCTTTATGTGTGAATAACGCGAAGGGAAAGGAAGGGAAGAGAGGAGCTTATTGAAAGCCGCATTGAAGCAGCTCGAGCACGGCGCGGAAACCCGGCGAGGGGGGGAAACAGGGTACATTAGTGGAGTTGACACAGCCACTGCAGCAACTCATTGACGAGATATTCTAGCTACATTTTGTACCTCGTTCGTAGCTCCCTTATTGTACATGCGAGCATTGTTTTTTTTTTTTTGCGCATGTGCACATTCGAACTTTTCATAAACAGAACGAGATGACTTGACACTGGGTGCATGGATCGTCCAGAAGGCACATATGTGTGTAGGTCGAGCCAAGCATTACGGTTGCTTTCCCCCCCTATTTGGTGAAGCCCGTCGTTTCTACACACCAGAGTTCTTCTCCCCTGCGCTATTCACCTGTGAGCGTGTCCGTGTGGGGGATATGCAGCGCATTATCGTGCGGAAAGGAGTGTCTGTGAACGGTGCCACTGCAACCAACGCGATGAACGCACCACCGCAAGTATGTCAGGAATGCTCTAGAAATGATAGAGCACAGAGGTAGAAGAAGTTTGCTCATTATTTTTACTTCCCGGAGAAGATAAAATAAAAGAGGCATACAGGGGAGTGTTCCGAGAGCAGGGGCGGGGCGAGAGACTCCTCAAAGGTGCACATTTGTACGTGCGTGTGTGACTACCCCGCGTGAGTCACAAAACGGAGAGTCTGCTGCTCCCCCTCGCGAAGTGCATAGAGATACATATGAGCATATGCACATGCGAAGACCCCTCAACTCGTGTAAAACCACCGTTGTGTGAAACCGCCTCGCTAATTTCTCCCCAAGTGAACACAATGGACGGGTTTGATGAAACGAAAATGAAACAGCTACAGCTGTTGAAGGAAAAAATGAAGATTGCCAAGGCACAGAAAGTAGAAGAAGTAAAAAAAAACGAAGACGTCTTCTCCCTCTCGCATGACGTAAAAAATGTAAGATCATTCGAGACACAAGATATCAGATTTAATAAAATAGGAAAAAAATTTTTTGAAAATTTTACTCCTAATAAAAAAGCAACACATATTAAGGGGACGAATAGTAGGTACCCTTTTCAGCAAGCCAAAAGTGGAAATGCTAATTTCCCTTTTAAGGCAAAAAATGGATTAATCAAATTGGCAAACGAGCCCAATGCGTTTGATACGCCACTAACATTTGAAGAAGTCATGCGAAGAAAAAATGAAAAAAAAAAAAAAGAATTGGAGAAAAGTGGGCAGAATGGTATGGTGGACGATATGCTAAATAATGTAAGGCAATTTAATTTGAGTGAGGAGGGCGAGGACAAAAACGAGTCTGGCCTCCTCCAGGGAATGAGTCGCACGTACGCAGATAATGCCCAGGGTGGTATGCATGCAGAGGAGGAGCAGCACCAGGCTAATAACGACAGTCATGGGGGAAGCGTTAATATATATGGTGATATGTACAGTGATAGTAGTCCCCTGAGGCAATTACAAGAAATGAATCGCCTGAACAACTATGATGATGCAGGTGGACTCCACCAAAGCAAACTTCATGACAAAGCCACTAACAGCGAACAAATGTTAAGCGGATATACAACCGACAAAAATAATTCAATTAATGGAAATATCTCCAATAATAGCAGTTCTTTTGGCATGGATGTCTTGAAGAACAGCCAGTCTCTTTCACATGGTATGAGTTCTTTTACTAATTATTTCTCACAGCAGGTGGGTAAAGGTCAGGATGTTTCAAAAATCGGTGCAGATTTGAACAGGACCTCCCCTGACGCTGTTAACAATGTGGGTAGTCCTCTCAGCGAGAGCTTCCCAGGTACTACCTCAGCTGGAAGTGGCGTGGGCGGTCTGTTTGGCAGCCGCGGAGACCTCACAAATCGCAGTAGTAGTAGTGGTAGTAACATTTTTGGGTGCAGCCTATCCAAGTTAAACCAAACCATTTTTAACCAAACGGTTAATATTCAGAGTTCAAGTCAAGGCCCAAGTAACAATATGCACAAGGGGAATGATAGCAACATAACTCCTTCTGCTAGTAGTCCCTCCAAGGGGGACAGTGCCCACAGCTTATTTCAGAGCAGTGCAAATAGCACTCTCGGAGCAAGTACTATTTTTGGGACTAATAAAGCACCTATTGGAAGTAACGAACCTGTTACGAACAGCTCTCCTGTTCCCCCATCTACAAACCAAAGCATTGAAGCGAGTTCTCTTTTCACCCGCAACGATGGAAGTAGTAATAGGAACAACACGGGCAGTCTTTTTAACAATTCATTTAAGAGTACTAATTTGGACACCACGCGGAACGCGCCAGATGCAGCAGGCAAAAATGGCCTCTTCAATAACGCCAGCGATGGGAGCGGGGTCAACGTGTTTGGAAATTTGAGAAGCAAAGCTCACCTGTTTAGTGGTAGTGGAAGCATTTTCGGGAAGCCCAGCGCCGGCACCACCAACTTGTTTGGCATTGCTGCTAACGAGAAGAGCCAATTGGGAAGCGCAGCTAGTGAGAAGAACCAACTGGGGAGCGCCGCTAACGAGAAGAACACACTCGAAAAGGCCAATACGGGAAAAGGCATTTTCGGGCACCTGCCAGGTAGCAGCAACCCCTTTGGAAACGCCTCTGGCAGCGGCAACCCGTTTGGAAGCGCCCCTGGAAGCGGAAGTAACATTTTTGGAACCCCCGCAAATGCCAGTATTAACCTTTTTGGAAAGTCCTCCGGAGGAGCCAACCTCTTTAACAAAAGCGGAGGTACTAACAGCACGAGCCACGTTAGCAACGCGAACAACTTTTTTGGGAAGCCCCCCGTGGGTAGCAACATTTTCGGCGCCAGCAGCAGTTCACTGAACAATGTTGGCGCGGTTAGCGGCCTGCTGAGTGGCAACCCTCAGAACACCCCCGACAGTAGGTGCGGCGCCCCTGGCGAGAACCTCCTGAATACAAGCAGCAAGTTAATAAGTGACGGTCCCACCAACCGTTGTGGCCTTGGAAGCAGAGGCGCAAGTGCCGTCACTGCTCCTTCCCAAGCGTACCTCAGTAGAGGCATAAATGGGATGCAAAAAGGAAGTGACATCAACGCAAGAGTTATGAAGTTTAAAAATACCCTGTCTAATATTAATAGTAAAAGATCTGGAGATCTGAACGAACCGGTGGCGCATAGCATCGGGGAGAATGAAACTCAAGTGGATCAAACGCGTGTGGAAGGTTCCCCCGATGCCAGTGAACAACCCCCTGCACAGGATCCACGTGGTGTGGAAGAAAATGATGCAGCCAGCCCATCACAATCATTGCAGTACCAGAATGTGGAGCAAGCAGGAGAGAGTAATAATGACGAGGCTGCTCAGCCAACGTGTGATAGTCCTGATGGAGAATCAGCCAAAGCAAGTCATGACAATGAAAATGAAAATGACAAGGAAGAGGGCACTAACATCCGCAAGACTTTCTCAAGTTATTTTAACACGTTCATTCCTTCCATATTTTCAAGCCCTAATAAACAAACCACAAAAGATGAGTACCCCAAAGGGGACACTTCCAATGATGAAGTGAAGACAGAAAATGTCGAGGTGACTAAAAATGCCCATGATAATCCAATTGGTAAGGATGCATCGGAGGGGGAAAACATTAATACAAGTCCTCTCCGCAGTGACAAGGATGTGGGAGAGATGAAGACATTCTTTAGGGCCACCCCATTGAGGGACCCACCGAATGCAACTCTCTCTTCACGAACCAATAATGCAAACACGCTGAAAAGCAACCATGATGTTGTTTTATTGAAGGATGAAAAAATAAATGAACCTCTACATTTCGACCCGCTTGTAGATTCTGACAAGGCGAATAGTAACAACCACGAGGTCCTGCCCGCTAGGAGCCAAAACGAGATACGCAGTCACGCCGTAGCAGAGCAAGAACAAATACGAAACACTAACACGGCCGAAGGGATGAATGTCCAAGTAGACGTTAATCAAAACGGTTCAGTGAACCCTCTCAGTGATGAAAATAACAAAACGAAAAATTTATTCAATCATGAGGCTACTGTCCCAAATAGTGGGACCTCCCCAGGGATGGAAAGCAAAATGAATCCTACAGCAAGGATTCCCTTTTCCAATGCAAATGTTGGACGCAGTACAGAACAGGTTGCGACATTGCCCAGTTCGGTGATCCCCTCTTCGGAGGAGAAATCTGGTAGGAGCATCCTCTTGGGTAATGGGTTGGATAATGTTAAAAACGAACGGAACAGCAGTAGTGCCGCTTGTCATGTGAGCAGTAAGGTTGATGAACCCAAGGGTATCTTTCAGAGGACTCCAAGTCATAACAACCTGATCGAGGTACCCAATGCAGACGGATTAGAAAATAAAGAAGACATTGAAAAAATGAACCAAATATATAAAAATATAAATTGCATAAACAAAAATATAAGCTATATTAACAAGTACGTCCCTTCTACCATTGAAGATGTGGACAATTATTTGCATGAGAATATCACCTCGGTGCAAAATTACGATGCCTTATCTAGCGCAAACCAAACGTGCCTAGAAAAAATGAATGCACCTAATAATTCCGCACAGTCAAATAAGGAATTAAAAAATATGATAAACGTTTTGAATAAGCAAATTGGTACAGGTGGTGGACCCTCTGGAGGAGGGGGAGACGACAAGGGAGCCCCAATTGGCAAGGCGAAGGGAACTCTGTTTTTTAACCCCTTTAATAGAGGTAGCCAAGTGGATATGACACATAACGCGAAAGCAGGACTAATACCTTTTGCGCCAGATGGAGAACCGTCCAGATGTACCCCCATTTTTAACGCAACAGGGAAACACACTCCTGGTGGTAATTTTTTAAACACAAAAATGCTGACCCCCACAGAAAAATTAAAATTAATAAATGAAACTTCGAAAGGAATTGAAACGAATGAAGAATCCGATGTGGACGAGAAAATACCTGAACACGTTCAGAAAATTATGGAAAGAAGAGAATATTTTAAAACAAAAAATACGTTAACAAATAGTGACTCAAATAAAAACATCGGAATGAAAAAAATTAAACCATTTGTCCCATCAGAATGTAGTGAATCTTTTAGAAATACCTTTTACACAAATGAAAATAGTAAAAATAAGAATAATGTTTTTTCTCTACAAAATTTAAGCAGTATGAATATATTGAGCCCCAACCAGGGCAGTAGTATCGGTGCTGCTGCTCTAGGCACTTACCCCACGGTGGATAACCGCAGCACCATTTTTAAGGACTTCCCAGTGGAGACGCAAAACAAAAGAGAAATGCACACATATAGCAGTGAGAATTTTTTTATGTATAATAATATGGCACCTTCGTCGAGCAACACCATTATGAATTCCACTTTTGCGAGTGAAAATGCACAAAATCGTTATAACCCCCTGGCGCCGACCAAAAATTTTAACAGTGCAGTTAATTCAGGCGAGTTAACCAGCAGGGTGCATGGCGGTGTGGCAGGAGGTGAAACGAAACCATCAGGAGAATCTCTCATTAAGATGCAAGAAGAGCTAAACAGACAAACCGATTTTATTTCGAACATCTACACAAGTTTAGGGAAAAATAATTTTATTTACGACAACCGCCGAGAGATGGACTCGACGCGTGATGAGCAGAGAGGTGACCATGGGGACGATGAACTAGGCCCCGCGGCCACCAACACGGATGACGCTTCATTGAAGAAGAGAAGCCTGGACTGCATCAGTGGCGCCCACGACGACAATGATGACGTACGTGACGATGAGTCAAACCCGTTCGATAACATCGAAAACGGAGATGACGACGATCCCACATGCGCACGGAAGAAAAAAAGGAAATTTGCTACCAATGGAATTAATGAGGAACTGCTTTCAAAGGATAACAGATGCATTGACATATCCAACTGTGTTAAAGACATTAGAGACTCCACGACGTTGGAGGACATTTCGACCAACTTGAGCAAGTATACCGTGGAGAGCGAACGAATTTTGTGCGACATAATTAACGATACTTTTAAAATGTCGCTGAAGATTTCTTCGCTCAGCGATTTACCCTTTTTGTTCGAGGACTTCCCCTGATGAGGTGATGTAGCATTGGTGCAGCGACGCTCGTTTCGTCCGTGCATCAGCTCATTCCGTGATGTCTCCTTTTTTGTCCGCAACCCGAGCGGCAGGGAGAGAAAAGGGGGAATAAACAATGTCCGATTTGCTCAGCTGCAAAATTTCCCTGAGGGGAACTTGCCCCAATTGCGGGCACAAATTCGCCCCCCCCCTCCCCGGAACGCACATTTGTCCTATGCACATGTGCAACGTTGTTGTTTCCCTTTTATGTTGTTTGAAAGCATGCACACATGTCGATACGCTTATTTTATTTATTTTATTTTTTTTTTTTCCCCTCCTTTGAACTGTTAAAAGAATGTATGTGCAAATCGGCATGGCACTCATATTGTTTGTTTGAACATTTCATTTTGAATAACCTCGTGTCATGTGCGAGCATCCGCCTGTTTGTAACCAACCCGCGGTGAACTTCTACGTATGAAATACCTTCCAACGATTTAATTTTATAAAATGAATGGCTAGCTGCGAACATTTTTTCCGAGAAATGTTATGACTGTTCATAATATTTTAACCTTTTGGTGCACTTTTTTTTTTTTTTTTTTTTTTTTCTCTGGCTAGCTAAAAAGGGTGTAGGTCGAAAATTTAACATGTGACACGCATATTTGTCTACACATGGAATATGCATATAGATGGTTCTTTTCTTTGTGTCTTTTTCAAAATTAATCTTGTAAAATAAATTTCGATACTATAAAAAAAAAATTTTTAAATAAAACATGGCAAAAATCAGACATGAACATGAAGACACAAAAAGGGGGCACTCAGTTACCTTCATGGAACTCTTTTAAAATGTGGGAATTAATAAGGGTGAAAAAAAAAAAGAAGAAGAAGAAGACGAAGGGAAAGGGCAGATTTAAAAAAGTATAATCACTCTGCGCAAATATAAAGTATAGTTGAACCTTATGGCGGCGTTAAAACATTTCCATTTTGGTCAAACACGCACAATATGTTTCATTTCACGCTTTTTTTTTTGGCACATTCCGTCATGCAGGTTAAACGACTCCCCTCACGTGTGGGAGCACAATTGTTCACATACGTTTCGTGGTGTGCGCACTTTCTTCTCCTGGGACACTGCGCAGTGCTGGTAAACGGGTATTCCTCGCATAAATCAGTGTGCGGACGATTTGCTCAGTAACCTTTTTCCATCGATTCAGTAATGTCCAATGTTGTGCTCTAAAAGTTGATGGGCACAAACAAACCGTCATGCGCCAAGGAGAAGGAAATGTCTGGATATTTATTCGATAATTTCTTCAAAAATAAGTTAGTAATATGATGTTCTATACCGCAGGACATTCCAATAAAGTACACTTTCTTCGGCTTGATAAGCAGTGCAATTTTTATACTTTCGTGCAAAGAAAAATGTGAATAATGTTTTGCCTTATAATAAAGGGCGTCTATGATTAACACTTCCGTGGAGCCTATTTTCTTTATGTAGTCCAGTACATTGGGTGGTATATAGGAACAGTCCGAAATGTAAACCAACTTTTCATTCTCTCCTATGATATATCCAACACATATGTAGTTTGACCCATGCTGGAAGGGAATAAATCTGATACGTTTGTTCTGGTCAAATGTGGTGTATACATAACCGTGTTCATCTTTTTTGTTGTACGTATGTATATTTACACAAGTGCCATCATCATCATCAGCATCATCGCCGTACCCCCCATTCTCTTTACCCTTGTCCACACCATCTGTTTTGCTATTGTGCGTACTATTTGTGGTACCTTTATGGTCCTGCTTTGTCATGGCAACTGTCCCATCCTTTATCTCACTAACCGCTTTTTCTTCAAGGATTAATTTGTTATACTTTTCATCCTTGATAACTAACAAATTAAGTGCTGCTATTTTGGAAAAGAAAATGTTTTCCTTCCTTTTTTTGACCAGGTAGTCATAACCATTTCGCAGCCGTTCATATGAAACTGCATTCACGTAAACGTCAATTAGCTTCTTCGGCTTGTAATAGTAGCTGTCTCCAATGCTTACTTTGTCGCATTCTTGGAGGTCCCTGAGGTCATCTATTCCGTTCAGCGCGTCTGTGTGGCTGTGGCTTATCAGCACCGAGTCTAGCTTGATTTCCTGCGGGGCGTGGAACAATCGGGGCGGAATAATCGGGATAACAAAATGGAGGTTACATAGTGGGGGCTACAAAACGGGCGAAATGCACCAAGTGACAATCGTCCCTCCCCTGCACACTTACATAAAAGTTAATTTTGTCCTGGTTCCGCAACAGGCTGTCCCTGAAGGTTTTCCCGACGTCAATTAAGACATACGAATCATTTGACTTCACCAACACAGAGATGTTATTTCTTTTATTCTTGGAGTTAACATTTAGTGCATCGTAACAAGTGTAACATTTTAAATCATGGCAATCAGGGTAACTTTTTCTTAGATACAAATCATTCAGCTGGTCAATACATTCTATATCATGTGCAACCAACTCGTCTACAAATTTGTTTATATGTTTAATGTCTTCCTGACTCAGTTCTGAACTCTGGGGTTCCCGCTTATTTCTGTTTGACAATATTTTGGCGTTTTTGAAAATGTGGGATAGTTTGGGCGTGGACGATGAAGAACCTGTACCTGTACGGGGGGGAAGGGGGGATGAATGGAAAAAATCAGACGTTATCGGAAGTGATAAGAAGTGATAGGATGTGTCGCAGGGGGGATGACACAGGTTGGATGCGAGAAAGAACGCTTTCGAGGTTTTGGGGCACCCATCTGCTATCACACTTTTCATGCGGCGCAGGGCGGACGATCCTCTCCCACTCATTTGGTAAAACGCGCGCCACTCGAAGTGGCTTTCAGGTGTGCTATACGCATTGTACGTGTATTTTCTCAGTGTGTGTTCCCTTCTGTTTTCCTTTTTTTTCACATTTTTCTATCATTTCAACGTTCTCCGCGATGCTCTCTCCGTCCAGTACCTAAAAATATGATACCGTTCCCAGTTATCATACTTAATGTAAATGTTGTTATGTGTAGGCGGGGGGTTATTTTGTTGGGTTGGTTTGGTTCACTTTGTTTTGCTTTACATCACTTGGTTTTATTGCACAGTGATTTGCTTTACTTTGCTTTTCCTTTGAAAGAGTTGGGGTCACTTTAATTCTGCTATTTCGCAGCCAGGAGTGTTACTGGTGGGGTGATGTTTCATTTTGTTGCTTTAAACTGTTGCGTACTTTTGTTAAAGGGGGTTTTCGTTCGATCGATTGGAGTGTACAATGGGGAGAAAAATGACGAGGTTTATTCACAGCGGGGTGTAACACTATTCAGAATCGAGGAACAGAAAATACGGTAAGCAACGCCGTTAAATTGCGACGAGTTGAAGCACTACGCATTTAATGTGCTACGGACCTAACGCGTCAAAACGCGGAACAAAAAAAAAGTGCCCTCAATTTGTGCCTCCTTTTCTCATCGCATTTTGCATACCCTTTCGGGAGAAAAAAGAAAAAAAAAAAAAAAAAAAAAAGTAAAAAAAAAAAAAAAAAAAAAAAAAAAAAAGTGACAATTTTAGCTATCGAAAAAAAAATTATGACTTGGTCAGGTAAAATTAAAGTTTTTGAGAACAAAAAAAAAAAAAAAGTACTTTTTGGCTAGTATTACTTATAAGTGAAAACATCACAAGCCGATGAGCTGATAACCTTACGAATTGATAAATAAAAAAAAAAAAAAAAAAAGTACTTTTTGGCTAGTATTACTTATAAGTGAAAACATCACAAGCCGATGAGCTGATAACCTTACGAATTGATAAATTGTCTCGTCAAAGGACGGGACAAAAAAAAAAAAAACCCGAGCATCATACATGTATTCAACGGGACAGATGTGTATATATGAAGAGAAAAAAAAAAAAGGTAGGCTCTTTCCCACTAGGCATTTGGTTGAATATTTTTCATGAAAATTCGGCTATGGTACAGTTCATATACACACACCTTTTATTATGTGGGATTGTCTTCCTCGTTTTTTATATATATTTTTTAACCATTTATTTGTAGTTCCGCGCAGTGACAAACGAATGGTATGCTGGCAGTCTTTTCCTTTGTCTTAGCAAAGGGGAATCACCACTCTGGCGTCCCTGTGCTTGCATCCACGTTCTGCTCATCCAGGCACTCTGCCGCAAACCAAGACGCGAGATTCGCGTGCATCCGCTCAACGGATAATCGGCTAACTCCCGCTGTCGCACGCATGGCGCACGAGGAGGACGCAGAACGGTCGCTGACGACCAAGTACATCCTCATGACGGAGAGGCTAAAAGGCAATGAACTGGAGGGCAAAAAACTAAAGTTGAAGGCCTGCGCCTCGGGGAGGAAGGAGTCCATCGACTCAATCGACCACGACGTGATTGAACAGTTTTGCGACGCTTTAAAAACGAACACGTCCTTTAGTGGCTACCTCGATATATCTTACAACGACTTGAATGAAACCTGCCTTTTTCACATCCTGTGTACTGTGTACGAAAGGAAAAATATAAATGGCTTGAATTTAAGAGGAAATAAAATTACCAGTATGCTTTTTAACAAAATATTACTGATTCTTGAAAATAACAATTTTGAATATATCAATGTGCAAAACACGGAGCTAAATAATCAGCAAATTAAAAATATTATTTTCTGTTCACTAAACAATAGGGTGAAATTTATTAAGCTCCCTTTTTTAAACCTCAACACGTTTCAGTTTCTGGTGGAATACCTCCGCGACAACGACTCGGTGGAGAAGTTGCATTTCTTTATGTCGTACGGCCACCAAATGAATTCCTCCCTCACACAGGATGATGAGAACATAAGGAACAATTTTGAAAATTACGTCCACGTATAGATATAGGCAGGCCCGCTAGTGCACTTAGTTATTATATATGGGCTATATGCATCGATGGGTTTTTTCTTCCAACTGTGACATGAGTGCGAGTGGCAAAAAAAAAAAAGTGTGTCTTCTCGCCACCGCACCACGCCTCATTGCGCCGCATGTTGTTTCACCCCCTTTCTGGCCTCTCCACAGAACTTAAAAAATGCGCTCAAAGAATTTATCGACGTTATAGAGAACAAAGCAAACGTGAAGGATGTCAAATGCGAAATAGACTTCCATGATCAGGAAATAGACGAAATGGTGTGTTTCATCCATGCTGCTTGCGAGAGGCACCGGCGGATGGCGGAAGACGGCCAGGGGCTGCTTGAAAATAGGATGCACATCAGTTCGACGGAGAAGATGCTCTTGCTTATGCCGGACATCGACGGGTACAGCGGCTACGACACAAGGCAGAAGGCCTTGTCCACACGGAAATATATGCTTGTGTGTGTATATATATACACATATACACATATATAGCACGTGTGCGGACACACCACCCTTGCCACCTTGCATCGCACATTTCAAACCCAATTTGAATCCCTTTTTCCCAAGGAGGACCAAGCATGTCGAAAAATTCGAGAAGGAAGTACCGATTACTTTTGACAAAGACGTAATAAGTTTTCTCCAAAAGATGTTGCCTTAGGGAGTTTTTTTTTTAAAAAAGAGCAAACTCGAATGACTAATATGTAGGGCAGTCCAGTTCAAAAATGAATAACAAATATGTATGTAGCTGGGGGTGGGGCGTCACGTGCGTTGCAACGGGGCCCACAATGTAGGCACGTGGATATTCCCATACGGAATCATCTACATGGGGCTTCCACCCATTGAAGCGTTTGTATGTCTATTTAGTTCACTCTTTTTTTTTGCACACGCTTCGGGGCGGATTAAGCGGTTGACCATCAAGTGGCCCACAACATGGTCGAAGCCACGTCGTAGCCCCTTCTTGACCTCCTCACCACTTAGCCACTTCGCAGGCGCTTCCCGCCCGGTAAAGCATGCGACCCATTTGGCCGCTTCACCCCGCTGGACCGCGCCTCATCCTGCAAAATGCTCGTAAGCCTTTTGTGAAAGTCATTAATGTTAATTTGTATACTCTGGCTCTCTATGCGTTCATCCAGGAGAGTACGAAACTTTTGAACTTCTGCCATGTGTGTGTGTGCCAGCTGGTCCTTAAAAAGGACTAAGTTGTGATCCCCTTGCATGTGCGTAATGGCTTTTATCTTTTTTACTAATCCCAACAAATTCAGTGTGACCTTTTTGTTAAATAAGTAGGCGTTGTTACTCGTCAATATGTTATTAAGGTATAAGCAAATGTGATGAATGAGGTGGGACAATTCATTTAAGCTAAATGTGTTTAGCAAACTTTTTTCATTCGTGTTACCTTGACGTAGTAAGTTGGAAATATAATCATTGCATATATCATCACGTATAATTTTGTTCACTCTTTTTTTTCTGCAATCTTTAAAAATAGCGATAATCTGTCTTGAAATGAATTCCCTTTCCTCTAATTGGATAACTTCCGTTTTTACCTGACTGTTCAGGTAAAAAGTAACATCAAAATCGGACGAAAATTTTTTAATGATGTTTGCAAAATGTTTCTTGTACATTCCGTTAAAAAGCTCACTGATATTTAAGTACCGTACAAAGGCGCTTTTGAAGAATAGGTTTAAGTATCTTGAATAACAGTTCCTCAATTGTGGAAAGAAGAAAATGATTTTTAAAAACTCGAGTAAGTAATTAATCACTATGTGGCTTTTACGGGTTACTCGACTTTCTATCATGTTATAATGCTCTAAACATTTTATCATAATTTTTAAAAGCTCTGTGTTTTTTGTTTCCTTTATTATTATCTTCACAATTCTTACGACGCTCTTTTTTATGAGTTCGATTAATCTGTTTTTGTCATGTGCTACAATTTCTTTCTTCACTTTGAAGCTCATCATGATGTGCTTTATTTGTTTGTCCAGGGCGCGCAGGTCCGCTGTGTACATAGCGGGGCGCGATTGGGTGGAGGCCTTGCTGTCCCCGCTGGGCTGGGCTTCGTCGCCTTCTTCTGCGGCTTCTTCAGAGTCATCCTCAGGGACTTCCTCAGGGACGTCCTCAGACACATCTTCAGGGACTTCTTCAGTGGCTTCTCCAACGGCTTCGTCATCCTCTTCATCGGTGCTGCCTTCGCCGCTACTCTCGACGCTACCCTCAACGCTACCCCCTTCGAACTGCTCCCCCAAACGCACACTCATTTTTTCCTTGCGCGAGATAACTGCCAGGGATAGAGCCACGTAGCACAACGTCCTCACGGTGTCCTCGGCACTCTGGTCCTTCAAGTTTCCTTTCAGGTGCTTCAGCAGATACGTGACGTTGTAAAACAGATCTGTTCGTTCTTTTTTCTCCGCCAGGTCTCCGCTCTTCTGCTTCTTTTTTTTCTCCTCCTTCTTGGGGTCCTCCGCCAGTATGTCCAGCAGGAAGCTGTTCGTCACGACGATGTCGCTTTGGCCGTCGCCCTCCTCGTTTGGGTCATCCGTCTGATCGTCCCGTCCCTCGCGTGGGTCCTCCGTTAGGCCATCTGCCTGATCCTCAGGGTCGTCCGTCTGATGGTCCCGTTCCTCACGTTGGTCCTCTGTTAGGTCGTCCACCTGCTCCGTGGGGCCCTCCGTTTGTTCGTCCTTCTGATCACCATCTTCTTCATTTTCTACGCCCTTTTCCGTGGCTCCCTCCTCGATCATATACCGCGGGGACAACTCCTTCAGCATTCTGTGCATGCGCTTGGAAATTTTCAAACCCTTCCTTCTGTTCGCGGGCAAGAAGCTGTGCGTCGCAAAAAGTAAAAACTCATTTTTGTAAGCACTGCAGCTGAGCAGCTTGCTTAGGGGCACATAATTCTTCGAGAAAAGGATTATCTGTTTTTTTAACTCGTCTGAAAGAGGTCCTTGCAAGTCGTGGGCATTTGCCAGTTTGACCAAAGCGTTTGCGTCCAGGAAAATTTTTCGATACCTTTTCTGGAACTTCTTCCTGTTCACCCTTGAGTCACTGTTTTTTTTTTGCAGCGTACTGCTTAAAGTATGAGTCATGTTAAATATCAAAAGGTTAAAAAGGAAAATTATAACTTTGGATAATTCTTCCACCGTTTGAACATTACAATGTCGTCGTTCCTGCTTCTCCTCAGCTGTGTCTTTTTTTCCCTTCTTCATGATCGAAACACACAATTTAATAATTTTTTTTACAACTACGATGTTGTTTCTTTTGGCACATCTTTTGCCAAACGTTGGTTCAAACTGTAGGTGCACTTCCCTTTCTGTTGTTTGTATCTTCTTCTTCTTATTCTTAACTTGCTCGTAATAATCTTCTGTGCACAAAATGTGCTGCCTTTTGCAGTTACAACAAAGTATGCATTTTTTACCTGACTTGGTCAGATGAATTATGGTCAAAAATTTGTTCACAAAATTGTACGTGCATTTTAGTAAAACTTCAAGGGAGAACAAATTCTTCAGGTACATTTTGGTTTGATCCTTATTCTTATTTTGCAATGAGATGAGTGATTTTAATGTGGCGAAGCTTTCCTTGGTTAGCTGATTTACGGCGATGTTAATTATATTCATGTCGAACTGCAGGTTCTTCTTCTGAGCACTGCTGTTGATGTCCACAAAATCGATGCTCCTTAAAATGGTGAATGTATTTTCTTCCTTCTTCTCCGCAGTGGCCTTTAGTTCCTTGGTGCCCAGGGCGAACTCGTTCAAGTTGAGTGTTTTCAGCTTTTTGTTTTGCTTGGCGAAGAGGAAGGCCACTTGGCTGGCTCCCCCCGCGTGCAAGTGGGCAGTATCCACTTGGCCGCCAACCGCTTCTCCGTTATTGTCCCCTTCGTTGTTCTGTTCCCCGTTGCTCGCGTCGTCCCCCAGCGAGAGGGCGTATCTGAGCACATTGCGCAGGACAATCTTCTGCAGGAGGAGCAGCACATTCATCCGGTGGTACTTGGTGCCCGTGTCGTGGGCCAAGAGGTAGTGCAAATTTTTGTAATTCAAGTCCCTGTTGTTAACAAACTTGTACAGCTCATTCATAAAAAAGAGATTCAGTATATTGCCATCAATGTTGAGATAAAGGCACAGTTTATCTTTGAGTAAATTCAAAAAGGCGTTGCTGTAGAGGATGTTGGAGAGTTCCGTGGTTGGTATTTTCTGTGCAGACAAGATGCTCTTTCCGCTTCCAGTTTTCTTTCCACCGTCAATTTTCTTGCCACTCTGTTTGCTACTTGCATTGGAAGCCTCCATAATGATCTCGCCAATGCGGAAAGGCTTGTAAAAAACAATGTCGTGTAGGACGGGGGAGAAGTCATACAATCTTATAAATCTCCTCGTCAGGATATACAGAAAGGAGAAAACGACAAAGCAAGAATAATCATGCTCACTTATGGTCCTATAAGTTAATTGCACCAATTCTTGTTTTCTCCACTGGCTCTTTTTCTTGGCTAACCACTGGGAGATCAAGTTGTTGGCTTCACGGTGGCGATTCTTGCTATGGAGGTCTTCCTCATTCTGATCTGCATTATTCGTATGAGCGTCCATCCCCTCCCGCGTCTGTCCTTCCTTGGTGGTATAATTCTGTCTCTGCGCCCACTTTTCCTTCCTCTTCTTCTCCCTCTTCGATACGAAATGATTATTGAATTTTCCCGAGGAGAGGTTGCTAAGCACGGAGAGCTTCACCTTGGAGAGGTTAAAGGCAGGCCCTGCGCTCAGCTTAAAGAGGGCGTCAAACACTTTGCGGTACATGGAAAACACATCTTTATATTTCTTAATCAAAGGGCAATTATTATTCTTTGCGTTCTCTGGGAATACGTTCATAATGTCGTTGTGGTTAGAATGGAGGAGATTTACCAAGTAGATGACTGCTAAACAAAAAGTGTTCATAATCGTTTTGTTATTCTTCTTGTTGCTTATAATGGTGAAGCATAAATGCAACACATTTTTATAGTCATTCAAAACGTTGGAGTAGAGATCCAATATTGTGCTGAATTGAACAGAGTCATTTAGCAAGCCATAGGTGGTACTAGGGTTTAAATACAAAAAGGTAATGATTTTCAATTTGTACAAAAAGTACACATAAAATAAAAGCCCGTAGTACTTCTTCACAGTGAACCTTGTGTTCATTTCTTTTTCTTTTAACTGAAACAAATCTGTAATCCTTTTGTATACATTTTTGAGGAAAAAGGGAACCAACCCATTTCGTACGTAAAGGAATAGGTTAAACGCTGTGTCGATGAAAAGGGGGAAGTTAGGGAAACTGGTCACTACATTACCCATCACTTGGCTCAACATCACAATGTACTTCTTGCTCATCATGGTGTTCTTCACACTTTGGTAAAAGTAGTGTTCCTCCTGCACTAAATTTTTGCTGTCTTCTCTCTTTAGAACTTCGAGGTAGATGAGGATGTTGCTACTAAGCAGGAAGGGCATCATTCGAAAGGGGCTCCTGTTCGCCTTGTCATGCTGATCACCCTGGTCACCACTCACATCATCCGCATTATCAAACTTCGCGATGCCCATCCTAGTAACCTTCTTCACCACCTTGTAACATTTTTTCACGTTGACTCTGCGCATGTACTTAAACAAATAAAAAAGAAAATCGCAGAGTACCTCCAGGTAGCCATTTTCCTGTTCCAAGGGTATTAAAATTTTAAATAGCTTTCTCAAATTGTTGAACAAAATTTTTTTTTTTTTGTCCTCCAAGTTAGAAATGTTTATTTTTAAAATGTCTCTTTCTAAGTCTTCATAAATTACGTTGGCCAAAAATTCAAATAGCTCTTTGGTTTGCTCTTCCCTTTTTTTGTTCTTCTCACTCAGGACGCTTTTCACGTGTTTTATGCATTCCTTGTCTGCCTTCCTGCTGCTGCAGTTGGCCAACAGGTCGCTCAGACTGCTGGAGAGCTTCATGATGGGGCGCAGCGAAGGAGAAAAAGTCAAGATATGTCACGCGTATAAATTATACTCTGTAGGGGCCGCGGGTATACGCTACCCCCCTTCTTCTGCAACTTGTCCCCGTAAGCAACTTTCTACCCAGAGGGATGCACAACAGTTCGTTTGATGAACAGAAGAAAATAGCAGAAAGGGGGTATCCTTAATTTATCAAGGGGCGGGAAAAGCAGCCACCATCTGCCTTGCAGAAAAAGTGGAAAACATTTTCAAAGATCGGTGGGTGGCCAACCTATGCAGGGAAAATTAATCTTACGCAAAAAAAAAAAAAAAATTATATGCCAAAAAAAAAAAATTTAACTTATAAAAAAATTGAAAAACGGAAAAAAAGAAAAAAGAGTGCTCTTTAAAAAAAAGGGGTGGACTTCTCTGGAAAAAAAAAAAAATAATAATAATTATAAAGAGGCGGCATAAAAAAAAGGTATAGAGTCAAAGTCAAACCGCGGCAAAAATGAGCATCCATGTACTTTATATGTGTTACATGCATATGTGGGGTGGGCGCCCAGAGGCAGCCCCAACGGCCTTGCGAGGAAAGTAACGTTGCGCAGCCCGCGCCGCCGCAAAAAGGGGAGCCAACCGAGCCGACAGCACAGCCCGCATAGAAGGCGGGTTAAAAATGAGTCGCACCAGCAATCCACATAAAGGATACTCCGCAAACGACTGGTAAAAAAACAGCCGCGGAAATGATTGGCAAAAAGAGTAGCCACTTTTATGACGCCTTTTTTGCCGAAAACACGCGCTTTGCACGCGGAAGAGATTGTTATGCCCCCGCCCACACCTCATCGTCGCGGAAAGGGCGAGTTTGTTTTTTTTTTTTTGTCCCCCGTGGATGTTTTTCTCACCGTGTCCGTACGGGACAGATGAACGCGTAAACATTTTTGGTTTTTCGTATGCGTGTATGTAGGATACACTAATCTGCGCATAAGTGTATGGATGCCATAATTGGACCCGTTCACTGGGGAAAAAAAAAAAAAGTAATAAAATAAAAAAAAGGTACACAACTTGTGTAGCAGGCAGACTGGTCGAAGAGACGTGTACGTGTATCACCACACGGCCGCTTCGCAGATGGAAGGTGTGGCGAATGTTCTGCTTGCCCCTTTCCTTTCCTCCCCCCTGTGGTCATAAAAAATGAACAATTATGCCAAAGTTTCCCCTGAAAAGAAAGAAACCCAGCTTCGCAAACACCAACATAAAATGCTACCTCTACCGAAGCGGCACAAAAAATAGGGACAGAAATACATACGTGGTGGATAAAAAGAAAAAGGTGGAAGAGAGGGTTAAACTGACGACGAACACCAAGTACAACGAAATAGTTTCCCTCTTCAGAGGCAGAAATGAAGACAGCGCAGCAATGAACAAAAGCAAAAACACCCATTACTATAATTTTGCAAAAGCAGATGTTTTAACCCTTGCTAGGAGAGACATAGAACGTCTGAAAAAAAACAAATTTAAGTTTCTTCCCCTAGGAGGGAACAGAAGACATCACATTAAAAAATTTTTCACTGAGTGCATTTTTGCTAACAATGTTAAGCATTTGATGGGTACAGCCAAGAGACACATCCACAGAGCGAGTCTCTATCACATTTTTCTTCTTCTTAAGTTAAGTGTTGATTTTAAGAATTGTGAATTTTTCAAGCTGAATGCGTTAGAGGCTTTCACGAACAAGGTGGAGTTGCTCGGGCGGCGCCAAAAAAATGGACATTTGGGGAGGGACGACAGGTCAGTGATTCTCACCTACCAACGTATTGTCGACGACGCGTTCTTTGCTAATGTAGATGGGGCCGCGGAGAAGCCCCCCGCCCAGGGCGTCTACTTGTTCGACGTGGTCAGTTTTGTGAATGACAGCGTCCAGGCGAGAGCAACAGAGGCACCCCCCCCCAGTAATGGCGTCGCAGCAGATGCGTCCACCCCCCCTAGTAATGGCATCCAGCCAGGGGCATCCCGCCCGCACAGTAATGACATCGCAGAAGTGAGATCCCCCCCCGACCGGAGCAAACCCCCTTGTGCGGACAGAAGGCACCCGCAGAGGCCCGGAAACTGGGCGCACCAGGGGGGGAAAAGCGACCCGAGGAAATGGCGCGGTGGACACAGGGCAAGGAAGGAGGAAAACGAAAACCACGTAACACCAAGGGACGAAATATACAAAGACGAAATTAAATACTTTTCTTACAATCACAGGACAAACCATTTGGGAGTCTACAAGGAAATTTTTGAAAAGTCTGACCAGTACAAATGTTTAAAATTTTACGAAAATGAAAAAAAAAAATTTGCAGCGCGGGGGAAGGACAGCTCCCCACAAGAGCTGCTAAACAATAAGCTGAAAAGCAGCCTGCTTAACCACTCCAATGTTGACGATAGCAACGTTGAAGACGCGTGCCAGTCGGGAAAGGTCCCCCCGCGGAACGCCTTAAGTCGATACACACTGAAGGAGTCCGTACTGAACGCGTTCCTCTGTGTGTGTGCAAATAATTACGACGACAGGATGTACAAATATATGAAGGCTGTGTACTTCACCAATTTTTATGTCTACAATCCTCTATTCCTGTTTCAGTACTTCAGCCACATCCCAGCAAGCGAAAATAAATTCTTCGAATTGTACTTAACTGAATTTCTCAAATTTTTAAACAACATCATTGTGCATTTTCACTTTTATTTAATCCCCTTTTTTACCAATTTGAATTACTCTACCTTTTTTCTGAACTTTTTTAAAAAAAAAATGTTACACTATGATGAAGGGGCAGGGGAAAGGCGTGTGCACATATATAGAAGATCAAGTAACCATCAACTCCTGAAGGAAAAAATTTCCTACACTTACAAAAATTATCAGAGTAGAGAGAAAAATGTGGCCTTCATTTTGTTTCTTTTTTATGAAATTTTTCGATCGGACAGCCTCATGGAAAAATATCGGCAAATTTATTTGGACAATTTTTACCTGTACAGTTCAGAAAAGCAGGAAAATAAACATCCCCCTCTCAGCATTTTTTTTAACTTTTTGAATTATCGAAGCGTTTTTAACAAATATGAAGATGAGTTGAAGGGGGTGCAGATTGAGAGGAGGCAGTTTTATAAACCGCTTGTGGCGGTTACGAAGAGGATAAGGGAACACATCTCCGTAAGTGCTCCCAAGAATCGGGAGGAAGAAGCTACACCCCCCCCGCAGGGAGACACACTCGAGGGAGTAGCTTCAGTTCGTAGTGACCGGTTAACCCTATTAGGCCGTCGTGATTCCCCACGCGGGAAGTTGTCGTCTAATTTTGCGTTGAAGAGGCGGGAATTCCTCCGTGGCATGCAGAGGGCCCACCAGGAGTTCGCCGCCTCGCTGGGGGGAATAAGTGGCAGGGAAAATTTTGACCAAATTGGCCACGTTCGCGGCGATGACTCAAATGGGACGAATGGATCGAGTGGACAGAGCACCCCTCGTCAAATCCTCCAATTCCACGACGCCAAATTGAAGTACAGCATTATTTCAGTCCGCAAGAGGGAAGTCTTCAATATGATTCTCCTTCTAAACAAACACAATTTCACGCAATGCGGAAATTATTTAAACAAATTTTGCTTTTTTCTCTTAAACGAATTTTGCGAGAAGGATATAGTAACCCTCTTTACTAACCATTTGAAGTACAACGGGAACGACCACGATCTTTTGTTTCTTAATAAAATTATTAACATTTTGATTTACAAGAAAAAAAATATTTCTCTGAGTAACAACATTATCATCTGTAACAGCTTAGCCAAGTACCAGCTGTTTAACAATAATTTTTTTTCCCTGGACAAAAGTAATTTTTTCGATGAAGTGAATGACGCGAACATTCACTCTCTCGTTGCGTTGCTGTACTCCTGGGGGAAACTCAAGGTGAGAAATATCGACCCCCTTTTTTACCAGAGGGTCATTACAGAAATTATTAAAAAGATTGATAAGATTAATGAGTACGGCTTGTCCTGCTTGCTCTACGGGCTCAACAACCTCATAGATAGGAGGAAGGTGTCCATAGTGCCAGGTCCACCTGGAAGTGCCCAACAGGGAAACCACGTCGAACGAGACCACCACATCGAACGAGATAATCACGTCGAACGAGAACACCACATCGCACGAGACAACCGAGCAGGCATGCCCCACCAGAGCGACGCCCAAACTGTACCCCTTGAAAACGAACTCATAAGAGCAATAGTAAACAAACTAATCGTCTTCAAAAATATGAACATAAATTCCTTCTGCATATCAATTTCGTGCCTGTCCAAGATAAATATTTTTCCCACAGAATTATATGAAGAGGTCAGAACGGTCACGTATAAATACATGCACAGCGTGAATGTGACCTCACTGCAGCACCTCCTTTTAGCCCTCTCGAAATTCTACATTAAAAATAAACGAAGTCAGAGCACCGATGAGCTCATATTTGACATTTTCAATTTTCTCTTCACTTATAAATATAATGATATATCTTTTAAGTGTGCGTGTAAATTTTTACACATTTTGAGCTTACTCAATTTGCGGGATGAAGATTTCATCTTGCTTCTTCTGCTGGTCATTTCGAATGAGCAGAAGCTTTTGGCTGGTGCCCACGGGGGAAGGAACGTTTCTTATGTGGAGGAACATTCCCCTAAGGGGGAGATCCCAAAGGGTGTCGCAATGAACAGGCCCCACTCGGCCAACCTCAACACGCGCAGCTCGTTTAGCGGCGTTGATACACCTGTTAGTGGCGGAACCCAGCTTGGTTATCGGCCCTATGGAGCAACAAACACCCACCAAACGAAGGAACCACCCCCCCTGAATAGCCACCCCGCGGCGAAGCGAACAAACCAGAGTTGCAAGTACAAGGGCTCCCTATTCATCAAAGGGCTAAGTGCACTGAAGGAGGACGATTATTTTAAGAGTTCCCATAGCGCGTACCCATTTTTTGACGTCAAAAATTACAAGTTCGACTTAAACAAGGTTTTGTTAATTTTTAAAAATGCCGATAGTAGCTACCTGGTCAACGTGTTGGAAAGTTTGTACAGCCTGTCCTACTACTCCTACTTTTCAATTCACCTGACTGTGGTCATAAAAAATATTATGATAAAGCAAATACACGACTTGAAGGTGTCCAGCATAATGGCTCTGCTTTTTTCTTACGTGGATTTACACTTCTTTGACCACTCCCTGTATGACTTAGAATTGAGTTTATTTTTAAATGAAGACAGTGGTGGTGGCACTGTGCCCATGGAGGAGGGAGCCCAATGGACTGATGAGCAGACTTTACTATTGGAACATCCTGTGGCGGACGCGATTGAGAAGGACGCCTCAGAAGGGGTAGAAGAAAATGAAAAACTCATTCGTTCAAATAGGAATCAACGCGCTCCTAATGACGAAGCCGCCACCGATGCACTGAGAGAACAGCTACATAGCCTATACAACCACATGCTTTGTAACTTCAAAATCATGAACGAGCAGGAACGGATGCTCTACATCGAGAAGCTTAAATTGGTCATGTGTGAAATGAAGAAGAAGAGAAAATACTTTGTACACAATATCTACAATGAGAACAATACGCCAAGTGTGGAATATATACTGTCCATGATTCACGACTATGACGAGATGGGCAAGGAAAACTACCCAATGCCAAACGGGGGAAGACTCCTCTCTCAGGTGAGAAGTGGCCAACGTGCGGGCAGCAATCCGGATATGGATGCGCGAAGCTATAGGGACAACGGCCCCCTCTCGACGCGCAAAAAATACGGCGAACTGGACAACTCGCTCAAGGAGAAACACTTCGAACAGATCAAAAATATCGTAGACCAATTCAGCTCGGTGAAGAAGTTACACATGAAGGATAAAACGCTAAAGGAAAAATTACAAAAAAAAGAATACTACGATGATTTCTTCTTTTTAAAATATAGAGAATACTACAAAGAAGACCTCATCAATTTATGTCTTGAAACGATGCTAAAAAATGTGACTTACATTTTGAACAATTATAAGCAGTACAAAAACTGTAGCATTTTTTTCCTCCTCCTCTTTTGCGACATTTTCCTTCCGTACACCACGAGCGACATTTTTTTCTATTTCAAGCGCATTCAGAGGAGTTACGATGGGGAGGATAGCAATCACAACAGAAATGGAAATGATAACAAATGGCAAGAAAAGTTCGAGCATATTTTGGAAAACATAGAGCTATCAAACTTTACCGCAGACACGATAAGAAACGTTATTAACGCGAAGAATGCCTCCCATATGGTCATCCCTTATTTGGACATATTACAACACAACAATAACTTCCTCAACAAAGCCGTATGTGCGAATGGTAAGAGTGACGACGGGGCGCACTGTGTAGAGGACTTTCAGCATGTTAGCGGAAAGCGAGATAACCATCCGGAGGGTGAAACCCACAAACAGCATGGGGCGTGTGGAGACACCTCAAAGGAGTACCAACAATTCATAAACTCGTATGACTCCACTTATAAGCCAAAAAAGATCAAGTTTGAAAATATCGTGCCCTTAAATTTATTGTACAAATTTTTCCAATTAGTCAACTTTAACATAAATAATGTGCAACTGATTTACCTCCTGAACGAAGTCATTAAAGAAAATGAGTCAAACGAGCTAGTCGGAAATGACAACACAATGCAGTTTAGCAAAAATGAAATTTCGCCTGACCAGTTCAGAAAAGTTTGCTACCCCCTCATTCAAATACGAAATAAAACCTTAATTGTTTATAAAAATTCGAAAAAAGTTTTTTTTAAAAATTTCAACATTATAGATCATTACTTTAAGCCATCAAGAGGTATGCTTATACAAATATTGGACAATGGCATTCATAAAGCAGTTTCGATTTATGTGGATGTGTACATTGTTGCCTATAAGGTGGATATCCTGATTGAGCGACACGCGGTGTTGCGTCAGTAGGGGAGGCGTATTGGGGAAGCAAGGTAGCCATAGTTGCGCAGCTAGCCAAAATGAAACACAACGAAGGGAAAAAAAAAAAAAAAACTAGCCAAATGTGCAGCACAATCATGTGCACACACCATTTGCACCAATTTTTTTTTTTTTTTTTTTGTTTCTCCATTTTAAAAGGATATAACTTCATGTTTTTTTTTCACCTTTTGAATATTAAAAATGTGTGCATTTTTCACCGCTTTGCCTTTTCGAATTAACGCAACCTTCGTGTGTCTATTTGTGTCTCGTCACTGCTCTGACGCAGTGCTCTGGGATGAACACCCGCACCCTTCCTTTGATGACGTAAAACACAATAAAGGGGGGTAAAAAAGGAGCATTTTGTGTGTTTAAGAGGTAGACAGATAGGAGGATGCCCTCTTCTGTTATCAAAATGGGCGTCGTCGTAAATAACAATTTCGATGTAACGGGGGTACAAGGTGGGGTCTTTCCATTCAATCGATTAGCACCAAATTATCTTTCACACATTCTTCGTCATCGATGACGATTTCTTCTACCTTATTCTGGGTGCGCGCCTTCTTTTTATCGTTCAGAGGCTCTTCCTCCTGGTTTACGTGTTTCCTTTTTTTTGTGCTACAAGGGGGAGGGGGAAAAAAAAAGTTGCACGTGTGTGAGGGGCGCTCCTATGCAATTGCAACTCCATTCGTGGGTGTACTTCATCCCGTGCAACCGCAACATGGCACACGCTTGTCGCACCTGGGGAGTGGCGCGTCCGTTCCACGCAGGTCCTCCGCTTTCCTAGTCTTGACAACTTTTTGCTTTATGTCGTAGGGTGTCTGTAGGGTAGGGTCCTCCTTCAGGTGAATCTCCAGTTGGTCCTTATCATTTTGAAAGTCCGTCAAAATAAGAATCTCATCATTTTTTATGTCCCACTCACTAAGTGAGGTGTGTAAGCCCTTTATGTACTCCTCGTCCTCCTCCAAAAAGGAGTCATAGTCGAAGATGTTTCTATCCTGTTTGTCGAGAAATGGGTACAAGAAGGCCAACTCATTTGTGCACACATTTTTTACAAAATCGTACAGCGTCATTTCGCTAAAACTTTTTATATAAATATCTATCGTGGGCTGTTGGCATATGTAACAGTTGGGATTGGGAGGCTCCAATTTTTCGGCGTTCACAATGTTTCCCCGTGAAAACATTTTGTTTCCGCTGACGATACTTTTGACCCACACGTGCTTTGCCTTGCTGTCCCTTAAACTGTTTTTTGCGTCCACTTTGTCGGACCCCTTCATACGTTCTAGGTGCTCAATAACGTGAATGAGTTGCGCGGCCTGCAGTGAGGCGACAATCGCGTTGGTAGAAGAAATGGCAGGAATGATATTCCCCGCAATAGACTGCACATCAAATTTACTTTTCTGCTTAATGGAAAAATTCATCATTCGTAAATTCGAAATGGCTGTTATGAAATTGATGCAGTCATCGTCGTCCTTGTCAAACACCAGGTACTCCTCCGTTTGTTTGTTTATGTTTAAATAGCTATACAACTTTTCGAATGTCTCTGTGTACATTTTGATGCACTCATCTTGTGTCCATATGTTTTGAGAGCATAGGGTGATGGAAGTTGGTTCTGTGTCTTTGTTCTTATGTACTTCGTTCTGCTCGCCCGCATGAGGAGGGGAGATACCACGACCTCCCTCCTTTTCTGTCTCACCACATTTGTCTTCCTTCTTTGTATTCCCCTTGAACTGTATGGGGATGGGCTCCGTGACGTAGTCCTTCTTAAGTGCGGCGAGCTCCTTAATGGTATCGTAAAAGAGGTAGTTAAAAATGAAGGTGATGATTTCATACTGGTCCATATTTCTCTTCTTTGATTCTTCTTCAACATGATTCTTAATGTCAATCAAAGTCTCATTATCACTTTTGCAAAAAAATGTTTCAAAAATGAGTCTCCCCCATGCTACGCAATGTTCAGGTAAGGACGGAGTTTGCCTAAGTGTACAAATGGCATATGTTTTATTTTTGGGTTTCTCTTCACAGTTGTAACACTTTGTTTCATTTGCAAGAATAGGATACACCTGCCCATTATACCCGGTGCTCCCTGCTTCAATTAAAACTTTTTTCTCCATTATGCATAATTTGTTTACATATTTTCTGGCCTTAATATTATCTAGGGCGTTGACAACATAATCGTACTTTGCGATGTCACTGCTCTTCATGGTGCACACATCAAATGTGTAGGCGTTAATGTTTAGACCTTTGTTGTGTTTTAGGGCTCTCTCTTTGGCCACAAAGGACTTGTGCTTTTTCACGTCTTCCTTTTTAAACAAGAATTGTCTATTCAAATTTGTGATGTCAATTGTATCAATGTCCACAATGTCAATATTTCTACATCCTATGGTGATTATATTTTTTAAGAATTCACTTCCTATTCCTCCCGCCCCCACTAGGAGGATCTTCATGCTCTCTATTTTATCGCATGTTTGGCGGTCGAAGATTTTCCGCAGCGTGTGGTGCATGGCGGCGGGGTCAACTGGGCCGTAAAAACAGATGGTGTACAAATGTGTCGCTCCACGTGTCAGGTTTCACACGAGAGGGCAACTTCTCCCACTGGAAGGCACAGTTATTGGAGGAAGGAACAAAATGGGGCCACTTACAGCGTGTTAACTAACATGCTGTGTAAGTTTGTACCTCCCGAGCGTTTTATATATATATATATATATTTTTTTTTTTTCCTTCCCACAAATGGGGTTATACTATTACAAGTGGGGGGAGATCTGCAAAAGGAGCATTTTTTTTTTTTTTTTTCTAACATTGCAATTTCTCCACCAGTGAAAGGGCGCAAAAAAAAAAAAAAAAAAAAAAATTTTATTAGCAGGAAAAATTGCACCCCACGCGGATATTTTAAAAAAAGGCAATGGCTGAGAGGGACCCATCCTAAATGAGCTTCTTCACCTACGTCGCTTCAGTGGAGGCTTAGCGCAACGTCCGCATGAGGACCCTACCTCGCAAGAGCTTCTCATGCGTCCACCCACCTTCTTCTCTTCTGCCTGTGCAACAGGAGACACTTGTGCCACATGCACCCCCCTCGCGGCCTCTACAACGCAGAAATGGACGCGTTACAAGTTCGCATGTTTCATGGGTCTACATATATTTTTTTTGAGGGGGAAGAAATCGCATGAAATCAGGCCTACAGAATAATTGCGAAGCAAGCATGCCTTATTGCTTCGTATTAAAAGAACATCTGAGCTATGCTTCTTTTATAGGTACCCCAGTTTGTCTTTTACACCATGGGGGTATAGAATATAACTTGTGTGTATCGGTATATAGAGGGGGAAAATAAAATAGAATGAGGAACAAATGAAAAGGCACAAACCATTCCTGCATTTGCACATATATTAGAAGCGTGCCTCCATTTTTACGCAATAAAATGTGGCGTCTCGTCGGGGAGGAAAGATGGGGGTTCCTCACCTTGCAGCTATGCCAACTGTGTTTTCGTGTGGTAATATGATGGCGCTACATATTAAATGCATTCCCACTTGGTAGAAAGTCATACCCCCCCTCTACGAGGTTAATTCTTAACAAGTCCTTTTTTCATACACAGCAATGTGCACCACGCGGATGTGTTAAAAATGAATTAATTTTAGCTTGTGTGTGGGGATGAGGGGCCTTCTGCTGTGAGCAAAAAGTGCCCAAAGTAATGGCCTAATGGCCTCATGGCGTAGTGACGAAGGAGAATAGTCGAGGGTAGTTCGCGATACGAGTCGTTTGGGCAACGGCGCCGCTAACTTCCCACTTCCTTGCGTACCAATTCGGCGGAACAAAAAAAAAAAATTGTCTTTCCCTTCTTCACCTATTTCCGGTATGCATTTCCATTTCTCCGTCAAACAGCCCCACCGCACGAGCGTCCATTTCAGTGACACACGGAGTAACAACAGATTGGCATGCTCACCATGACCTCCACACATGTCATTGTTGTAGTTCTTCACATAAATTGCCTTTTTTATGTACCCCATTCCGCATGCATATATTCGCACAGCTACGTCAACATGGAAAAAAAAAAAAAAAATACTGCTCTGTAGAGGAATTGTCTGTGACCGTTGGAATTTATTTTATCCTTTTTGTCTGTGCATTTTTATGGTTGCTGGGAAGTGCATAATTTTTTTTTTTTTTTTTTTTTTTTTTTCCCCTTTTTTTTTTTTTTTTGTTAACCTACGCTTTGCATGGCGTGTTGCCTTTGTGTAATTTTTTTTTTTTTTTTTTGTGACAATACGGTGTGGACTTTCACGTTTTGGCGTCTTTCCTATTTCGTCTACCCCCGCGCAGTTGTCCAAGCGAAACTAACGTTGGCGTCGTCGCGACAGTGTATTTCCTCCATCAGAGCGTTGCAAAAAGGAGGGGTACTAAAACCGGGTTGGCGCATCCCCCTTGCCGCAGCAACAGGTACACACGTATAGGTGTACGCATATGTGTACGTGTTGGATCACGTCTAGGAAGGTATACGCCACATAGGAAGCACCCGCACACGCTTCATGCCCCCTCACAAATGGCGCGCAAGAAACCGCAGCTATTTCTCCTATGTGACGGCCAGGGCTTCACGTGGATCCCGCTGCTAACCGCGGAGTGGAAAATAAAGTACCTCTTCTGCAGCGACGCAAAAATGAAGAAATGCTTTGTGGACACCTTCGGCCTGTATGATACACAAACGAACACCCACGACAATGTCTTGAAGTTTATTGAGCAGCAAAATGTGGACAGCGTCCATCTGCTCTTCATAGCAATGTCCACCTCGAAGCTGCACGAATTAATCTTGGAATATGTAATAAACCAAAAAAAATTTTATTTTATTTTTAGTTCAAATTTACCAACAATTAATATGAACAAGTTAGGAAAATTAAAAGCGTCGCTAAAGAACTTTAATATGGACAGCCATATTATATACGACGTGAAGGAAGAATTTAAAAAAACGCACAAGCAGTTTTATTGGAATATCTTTAACGCCTTAACCAATCAGCGTGTTTTTTATAACCTCAAAAATACACTCAGCGAGTTAGGGGATCACATATATGCTGTTCAAATTGAGTCTACCTTCATGCCATTTTTAACAGACAATGAGGGTATAGAAAATGTCCTTTTTTATAAAACGGTGTTAATTATGTCCCTTATTGAATTTTTATTTTCCAAGCCAAAAAGTGTATCTGCAAAATGCTACTCCGTTAAGTGTGAGAATGTTACGGTCAAGTCCATTGCGGGCAGTGCTCTCTTCGACTCGCTCAATTGCTACTTTAATATTTCTCACAACTCGAGCAACAAGATATTTGATGTTAAGGTGTTCGGTGACAACGGCTCCGTGGACGTCTCCTACAACGCCGAGCATAACTGTGGGGCGGAAAAATAAATAAATAAAATACACGTGCACCACAGATAGGCACCTACATACGTACAAAAGCAGACACGCACATGCGTGCATTTTTGCCGACACCTGTGCAAGCATGCAAACCCATTTCATCCCTCCCCCCCTTCTGCAGGCTTCCAACTCGTGCGCTGCCTGAACCACTACGAGTACCCGAGTCTCTTCGTGGAGAGTGCCCACGAGAGCGCCCTGAACGTGAGTATCTGCGCGGTCATCACCGTCATTGCGAAGTGCGCAAGTAGGCGCAACGTGCACGACTGCACATTATGTCCGTGTGTGTGTGTTTTGCCAAGTACCTCTCTCCAACGTAACGTGTGGCTTCCCTTTCACCGCAGGAACTCAAATACTTCGTAGATGAGAAGCTATACACCAATAAATACATCAACATGTACACGAACGCTGTGCACACAGCTCTCTGCTTATGGAAAAGCAACGGAGAAAATATTTCCCTCGAGAGCAAGAAGCCTGATGAGTGTGCTGCCACCGATGCAGACATGATGGTGGAAGCAATGAAGAACCTTAGCATAACCGCCTGATGGTATACAAAAAAAGGGGCAATCTTGTACAATATTTGACGACACTTTGTGGGGGGAGCTACTCCATCTGGTGTGGCTGCCTCCATGGAATGCTCTTCCAGGCAGATTAAATTCCTTTCATGAAGGGGATACTACGGGGAAGACAAATATATATATATATATATATATATATATATATATATATATATATATATATAGCAACTCCATTAGGAGCATAAAGAAAATGGACCCCCATGGAGGGTTACCATAAAAACCTGTTTTATTCACTTTTTATGTACGTTTACAGCATCAACAGGATGCACACCATCCCAAGGGGTAGCGAATATATTTTTTTTTTCCCTCCATGTTGCCTTACTATATGTTGGGTGTTTTCCGCTTGTAACTTTTGTACTCTTCGCCGTAACACTCTAGCAAGTACGTCTCTTCCATTTTGATTGTGTGATAAAAGTATGCCCACGATACGAAAAAACATAACACGAAGCAGAACGGGTTGAGGAGGAGCAGTTGCAAGACTGAAGAGGGGGGGAGATAAAGGAAGTGATGCGGCACAGGTGTTTGTATTAGCGGTCATATGATATTTCACAGACGCTGGTTAGATGCGTACAGTGGGGCACCTGGATAGAAGTTCTACTCGTTGGGTTCATCTCGCCCTCTACCCAACGATGCCGTTCTCGTATACATGTTGTATGTACGGTGGACGGGGTGGTAAACAGCATCACGTGTCTTCCCACATCAAAGTGCGCCTCTCCTCACATCACGTAACGCATACATACGGCGCGCTCTAGTGGGGCCTTACACAATGCGTAGTAGAACCAGCCAGTGTAGCAGGGATGCCTCATATACTTGTACACACCGGACTTCACCAACGTATGCTTGTTCTTTATGCACTTGTCGACCAAGTGGTCGGTGCTTAACACGTAGAAGCAAAAGTTCCTAGAGCAATGAAGCAAGCCTAATATTCGCAACAGTAACCCTAACAAACAAAACACTACGCATAACAGAACCCACAAGAGGTGGTACTTTTGTGCTCGCTTGTAGCTTCCCTTCACTTCATACTTATCCAATATGTATGCGTATTGGTGCACAATTTTGTGGTAGATGGAATTTTTTAAATCATATGTTTTGCACGTTGTGGTTGTGTCAAGGGGGGGTGATGACCCCCTGGTGAAGAGACACCCTCCGTACGTCCTCCCAAGGGGGGAAGCATCACATGTGGGAAATGTGTCTACTCCTTCTCCAGTCTTTTTTGCATCGCTTTGTGAAGACATTCCATGTCGTCTTGGTAACGGGAGTGAGAAGACCCCCCTGTGTAGCTCCCCCCTTACGCGCAGGCGGTTCTGCAGAAGGAGCAGGAAGGAAGGCTCCCCCGGGTGTGCGGCTGCTCCCACGCTGAACCCCCCACCACTCTGTCCCCAATGGATCTGATTCACATAGCAGTAGGTGCATACACCTTGTCCATTCTGCAAAAAATTCTTGAGGAAAAAATAATTCACAATGAGGAGGTTCTGGAGGAGCCGCTTGCTCAAATACTTCTCACAAAAATGCACCAAGACGAAAAAAAAAATCTTCGAGTAATACTCAAGCAGCGTAAGGATGAAAAAGTAAACGTAACCACAATTAGGGTTCACTAAAAAGTTGTAATAGTTGTAATTATTTTTGTTGTGTAAGAAGGACAGGAAAAACTCAGACAAGTGAAATGTCGTAATGATTAGAAAAAAAATGTTAAGTGGGAAATTATTTTTTATATTAATGATAAAGTGGAACAGGAAGAAGAAAAAAAATATTAGTAACCCTTTAGCGAAGAGGTAGTTGAGGGGACTCCGCTTCGAGTACACATTTCTGTTTGGCTGAATTGCTACTAACAGGTAGATGCTAACGAACCCATACTCTAAAAAAACGTGCAGGTAGTGATCAAGGGTACGATAGACGTGGCTGTCCCCCTTCTGTATGTTTTCACCAGAAGCGGGGGTAATCAGGTGCACCAAGGTTTTGTAATTCAGTAGGGATGTGTACAAAAGGAACGCGGTTAGAAAGTACACGCCTACGTTCATTTTGGGTGAGGCTCATCGGCGGGGTCATCTCTCTAGCAGCTTGCTCTCTCTCCCCTCTTAGCGTCTTATCCGTGGGGTCACAGCCCGTGATGTGTATTTCCTCAAAAAAGGGAGCGCAAATGGGAAAATCTCCTGAATGGTTCAATTTTTCACACTTGTTGTACGTTACGCGGGATGCAGCTGGTAGAGACTGGAACCAATAGGAGCACACGGAAGGGCAAAAATAGGGCTATGCAAAATGTACTTTAAAAAAAAATATCACGATAGGCATGTGCGTAGGGAAATTCTTCCTACCGGAGCTTTCCACAATGTTCATTACGTTACATTGTAATATATCATATCATACTACATTATTTTTTTTTTTTTTTTTTTTTTTCCCTTCTT